CAATATAAATGTTTCATGCGTACTCATAAAATTGGGATATGGAATATTTTTATTAGGACTTCAAGCCCACTATGAAAATTAGATTTTCATAACTAAAATGGGGTTTTAATTACAATAGTGGGAGACATTTAATGTTAAAGACCTAATATTAAATGAATATAAATTCCATAGTCTGAATATTTTCTGCTTCGTTTGTTTTTGTAGATCACTCTACTAAAATGGCTAAGAATCCAATTGCAAGTATCCTTGAGCAAAACAAATTAACTGGCCCCAATTTTAATGATTGGCTGACGAACCTGAAAATTGTTCTACAGTCTGAAAAGAGGGACTATGTATTGGACAAAGCCCCTCCTCCTCCACCTGAGGATCAGACATCTGATGAGTATGGAGAATACTTAAGTCATACTGATGACAATCTCCAGGCTCGGTGCTACATGTTAGCATCATTGTCAAATGAGTTACAGAGACAAAACGAATTGTTGAATAATGCTTCTGAAATCCTCCTTCATTTACAAGAGTTGTATGGTGATAGGACGCGACAAATTATATATCAGATATCTAAAGAGCTTTTCAGGTGTCGTATGACTGAAGGCTCTTCAGTTCATGACCATGGGCTAAAGATGACAGCACTTGTTGAAAGACTTTCGTCTCTTGGAGTCATTATGGATAATGAACTTTATGTGGATCTCATGCTGCAATCTCTGCCATCGTCATTTGATAGCTTTGTTGTTAACTTTAACATGCATAATATGGAGACTTCTCTGCCAGAATTAGTGAACATGTTAAAGACGGCTGAATCCACAATAAAAAAGGATAAGCCGGTGCTTCTTGTTGGATCCGTTTCTGGATCAAAGGCTTTAAAGTCTAAGAAAAGGAAAGGGAAGGGAAAAGTTCCCAATAAACCCAACAAGAAGGCAAATAACAACAAAGGGAAGAACAAAGAGAAGGTTAATTCTCAGTCTAATCATGAATGTTATCATTGTGGTAAAACTGGGCATTGGAAGAGGAACTGCAAGGAGTATCTTGCTAGCCTGAAAAGTTCAGGTATTTATTTTGTTGAAGTTGACTTATCAGTTAACGATTCTTCTTGGGTATTGGATACCGGCTGTGGCTCACATATTTGCAATGATTTGCAGATGATGGCAAGAAGTAACAAGCTAGAAGATGATGAAACAATCCTAAGGATGGGCAATGGAGCAAGAGTTGCTGCCAAAGCAATTGGGACCATTTATCTAGCTTTAAATAATGATGTAAAATTGTCTTACAAATTGTTTGTATGTTCCGGATGTTATAAGAAACATTATTTCTATTCCAGTAATGGATAGAGAAGGTTTTAAGTTTGTTATTGAGAATGGAAGATGTTCCATTTTCAAAGATATAACTTTTATATATTCCAGAAATTTGACAAATGGGTTATATACCATTAACCACAAAGTCCCATCCTAACTATTCAACAAAATAAAAGAAAATTAGATAATCATAGTTCATTCACACTTTGGCATGCTCGATTAGGTCATATATCTGAAAATAGGATTAACAAATTGGGACCAAAACTCGAACTTAGGGGAGAGGAAAGGTTGCCTATTTGTGAGTCATGTCTTAAAGGTAAAATGACAAAATCACCGTTTGTTGGACAAGTGGAGCGAGCTAAAGGTATGTTGGATTTGATTCATACAGATGTTTGTGGACCACTAAATGTTAGTGCCAAGGGGAACTACTACTATTTCATAACTTTTACCAATGATTATTCACGTTATGGTTATGTATACCTATTAAGGTACAAATCTGAAGTATTTGAAAAGTTCAAAGAATTCAGAAATGAAGTAGAGAAACAAATTGGTCGTAATATAAAAGTTCTTCGATCAGATCGAGGAGGTGAATATTGGACCAATGAGTTTCTTGATTATTTAAGAGATAATGGGATTATTTCACAGTGGACACCTCCTGGAACTCCACAACTTAATGGTGTTTCAGAAAGAAGGAATCGAACATTGTTGGACGTGGTTCGATCAATGATGAGTTCCACTAGTTTACCTCTTTCATTCTGGGGCTATGCCTTAGAAACAGCAGTACATATTTTGAATAGAGTGCCAAGTAAAGCTGTACCCAGCACACCTTATGAGATAT